GCGTGAGGAGGGAGGCGATGTGGCCGAGCCCATCACGTCCCCCGGAAGGCTAGGAGAAGCAGGCTCACAGGGACCGCTCCAGAGACCGGGGTCACATGCCGATTGGGCTCCAGGCAAACGGAGCTGGAGAGGAACACTCTGTGTGTAACAGCCCAGAGGACACTGGAAACAGTCACGCGTGTGGAAATCACCATTTTCAACCACCAGATCTGAGGGTTCCAGCTTTTGAGCAGCTGTCACATGAGGGGCTCTTCCGAAACTCCAACCCCTTTCCACCTGTGAGTTTCCTAGTCAGGATCCAAAGACCCAGGGTAGAGTCTGATTGGCTGAGCTCAGTCACACACACGCTGTGGATGGAAAAGAGCACTTTGATTGGCAGTCAGGACCTTTGTATTTGGGAGGAAACGGGGGTGCAGTGGGTGTACTTTTTTTTTTCTTTTTTTTAAGAAATTACCTAAAAGAAAGTGTTTGTGTATCTGTATATTTATGCAAGTGTATATATTGGTATATTAGCTCCAAAATATGGGGGAAATTGCCAAAACAAAAAATGAGTAAGTATTTAATGCAGTATTTATATGTAAGTAGAAATCGTGAAATATAGCATGATTCAACCAGCCAGCTCTGGAATATCTCGGCTCTTGGTTATTTATCGATTATCTCTGTGCAGGATGTGGGTGGAGGAGCGTGGGAGGAGTGTGCGCTGAGAGACGCCAATGTTCTTCAAACAGCTGCGTTCACAGTTCCTCCCAGATGGTCCCGGGGGAGAGGCGGCTCCCGGGGAGGCACTGGGTGCTGCCGGCCCCGTTGGGCTGTGCCAGGCCCTCCTTCACGGTGGTTCCTCCGCTTTGCGTCACAGCAGGCAGTGGCTTGCTGTCATGTTGCCCTCCGGGGCTCAGAGGGGTGAGGGCCTTTGCCTGGGGTCCCCTGGGTAGGAGGTGGCCGACCAGGGTTCAAACCCAGACCGTCTGGCTTCAGACAGGCTGTCGGCCCGCTCTCCCGCTTCACCTCTGCTCCCCAGGGGAAGGGGCACTGCTGCCCGCAGGTGCCAAACACAGCATCCCCCACGCTGGCCCAGCCTGCTCACCAGCACCGAGAAATGAGCCTGGCATTCCTGTTGGAGTCCAGTGCCAAAACCCTCACTTCCCTCTTCTCCTCCCATCTCCAACACCATCCTCGGTCTGTCTGCCTGCCTCCGCAGCCCCCGGCCGCAGCGAGACACGGCTCTCACCAACCACACATGCGCTCACTGTGAGGCGAAGTCCGTTAGAGGCAGGGCTGGGGGAGAGCAGCGGGGCCTGCCTCTCCCCTCCGACTCCGAACGGCTCCCCCGCAGCACGTAACTCAGACAGATGGAAGTGCAGTGGCCTGGAGGGACGCAGCTCGCAGCTTTCCAACCAAGAGCTCCTGGCACAGGCCTGCAGGGCCAGGAGAGTCTTGCGAAAGGATTCAGGGGTTAATATCCCCTCAGTGGATGGAGACTGAGGGGTCCCAGGTTCGATTCCGGTCAAGGGCATGTGCCTGGCAGGAACTGAGCAGCACGTGTGCGCCATGACCGTCTGGCTGTGCAGAAAGCGCCACCATCGGCCGCTGATCGCAATGCCCATGTTACGTACACCTCGCTCTGCAGCGGGCAGAGCCAGGTGCGAAGTTTGTACCTCATGTCATTACCGTGAACATACTGTGGTCGCCACGTGGGAACCGTGCGGTGGGGAGCTGGTCTCGAACGGAACTGTGCCCCCTGAGGTGTGCACATCGGGACCTGCAGCATGAGGGCGGCCTGCAGTGGCTGCTCTTCTTCCTGTCGACATCGCCATATGCTGCTGGGGTGGCATGTACTTCGAACGGGGGAGACCCCCTAAGCCCGGCCACGGAAGAGTTGAGAGCGCTACGGAGAGCGCGAGCGATCGCGATACGGCGCGCGCTCGTACCGCCGCTAAATATCTGCGCCGGCGTCCAGCATAACCGAATCACCCCCCATCACCCCCCTCCTTCTCCTGCGCCACCTCTCACTCTCCCTCTCCCCCTGCTACCCCACCTCTCATCCCCCCACTCTACCTCTCACTCTCTCCCTCTACATCCCTCCTCCCTCCCTCTTTCTCTCCTCTCCCTCTCTTCTCTCTCTCCCTCTCTCTCTCTCTCTCTCTCTCTCTCTCTCTCTCTCTCTCTCGTCTCTCCTCTCTCTCTCTCTCCCTCTCTCCCTCCCTCTCTCTCTCTCCTCTCTCTCTCTCTCTCCTCTCTCTCTCTCTCCAGCTCTCACCTCTGCGCTGTCTTCCATGTAGCTTCAAACGCCCTCTTAGTGGCAAGCTGACCCCAAACGGCCGTAGGCCCTGTGAAGAGATGTCTCTCTGCCAGCAGCTCCTTAAAAGTCCGGGGCTGAGCCTCATTGGCCGCCCTTGGGTCACGTGCCTGTGCGTGAGCCAATGGCAGGAGCCCGGGGAATGCGGTGCTCTGACTGGTCTGCTGAATTCAGGTCAGCGCCTGTGTGTGAAGTGATGGTTCCCAGAGGATCCCCGTGAGGACCAGGCAGGCTAAATCAGACTCCACAGCCGGTATATATGCCCCCCACTGCCTGGCACCCCGGTACCTGCTCCCTCCGTCTTTTCCCTCGATGCCAGCCCTGCTTCCCAGGGGCAGCCGGCAGCCAGCACACCGTCAGTGGCCTCTCCGAACCCGCCTGCCAATTGCTCCGCCCCCCACGCCAGCCCCCAGCTCGCTCTCCCTTCGCACCGACCTCGCCGGGAAAGCTCGGTGACATCAGCCAGGACACAGGCTGTATTCTTCCGCGTGGTTCTCACTCCCGCTCCCTCTCCTGGCTCCGTGTCCCCGCCCGCAGCCCCGGGGCCCATGCTGATTTGCTTGTCCCACCTCATCTGGTGCCAGAATAACCGTTTTAAAAGCTGCCTTGGGGAAATCTAATCAAATGAGAACAAAATCTAATTTGGCACTAAAAGCTTGCGACTGAAGCCCCGTTTTCCAGGGCCTGGTGGGGCCTGAATAATAGACTCTGCCTGGGCTTTTTCAGGGCTGAGGGCTGGAGAGAGGGGAGGCATGTGAAAGAGGAGATTCTCGCAGAGGAAGCAGCTTTGACACCCGTGGCATTGGACGATAATGGGCCGGGGTAGGCTTCCAAAGGCACCTGCTCCCCGCCCCCGAGAAAGCGTTATCTCACCCGCCGGGCCAGGAAGGGAAGCGTGTTCAGGAGGTCCCGAGCCAGGGACGTGGGAGTCTGGGGGAGAGCTCGGCAAGCCCTGTCTCCGGGGCTGTGTGCACCACAGGGAGGTTCTGTGCTGCTCCCATTCTCATGGCCCCGCGTTCCTTCCGGAACACACCAAAAGCCGCGGCCTGTTCCCAGGAGGGTGGACACGGAGTGCCCAGTCCGGCGTGTAACATTTCGGAGGACATGTGCTCCGCTTTAAGTGTCCCCATCGTGCTTCCTGTGGCTTCTCCTCAGGTGGAGTCCAGGGCCCTGCCCCACCGGGCCCCCACCAATGTCATCTCCTCCCTCCCTCCTGGCCTCCTGGGGTTCTTCCCATGCCCCACGCTTCCCCTGCCTCAGGACCTTTGCACTCGCCGTTGCCTCTGCTGGGAGCAGTTTTCCTTGTATTCCTGTATTTGCTCTGACTCACGCTCATCCTCCCTCCCAGAGGCCTCCCCTGACCACCTGGCCCAACGGTGCCTCCAGGGGCCCATCTCCGCCTCTGCCACTCTGTCACGTCATCATCCTTTATTTTATTTTTAACGCATTGTTACTCCCTTCCGAGAGGAAGGGAGAGGGAGAGAGAGAAAAACATCAATGATGAGAGGGAATCATGGATCAGCTGCCTCCTGCACATCCCCCCCCCCCCCCCCCCCCCCCGGCGATTGATCCCGCCATCCGGGCAGGTGCCCTGACGGGGACTTGAACCATGACCTCCTGGATCATAACTGGGCCACCCCGGCCGGGCTGTATGCTTCATCGTCATTCTCACCAGCAGCACCAGCTTTATTTGTCACCGCCTCTGCTTAGCCGTCAGTCCCGGGGAGGGCAGGGATCCTGTTGGGCTCACCCACTGCTGTGTCTCTGGGCCTCGGACGGCTCCTGGCATTCCCCAGGTGTTTGGTGAATCGCTGTTACATGGACAGACTGGTCTTTACCATGCCTGGGCACACAGCCTCTGCCGCCCACTTAGTGTTTTTCTCTCAGCCGTTTCATTCTTTTTACCTCCTTTATCGCAAAGGCGAGTGTTTACGTCACCACCGTGAACAGAAAGCAGCAGGGCTCTGTGAGGGGTCTGACTAAAGCTTACCTCCTTCCTTGTTGAAGTTCTGAACCCGTTGGAAGTAAAACCCAGGAGTCAGCAAACGGGAGCCAAAGCGGCACTTGGAGGGATGAATCTGACGCAGGCTGGGCTGGAGGGCACTGGCTTCTTCCTGAGGGCCGTGGTGGCTGCTGCTGCTCACGACTTCGGGCGATCGGGTGAATGAGTGCAGTTCTGTTGGGTGAATGTCCGGGACTCGAGCTGCAGGCTGTATAAGTATGTCCAAGGCTAGCCAACGCTGCCACACCGTCTTCCCGGCGGAGGGACCAGCGTACGCACCGGCCGGCAGTACATGCACCTTCCCGATGCTCTGCTTCCCCGCCAGCACTTGCCGTTGTCCATGTCTTCGCCTTAGCTACGCTAACGCTACGCTAACGCTGTCCATCCATCACTACTCTGGAATCATCCCTCTCTGCGGTGTCTTGCTGCTCCTGCCTTCATTAATAATCGTTTTTAAAGACACCTTTGATTCTATGGTAAAATGCTTTAATAGGTCGGTAACTATTTCAGAACAATCGGCTTTCCCTGTTGTCCTGTATATCCTGTTTGGTGAAAACGCTCAGACGGGGGCTCAGACCCGGCTGGCTCCCTGCGGGCCCGGCTTCGGACGGGCGGGCGTGTTGGGCCTGGAGCGCAGGCAGCGGGCTGCCTCGGGAGGCTCTGCTCGCGCCCTCACTGTCCTCCCGGTCCCTCCCCCTCCAGCTTTCTTCGGGAAGTACCTGAACGAGTACAACGGCTCCTACGTGCCGCCCGGCTGGAAGGAGTGGGTCGGCCTCCTCAAGAACTCCCGCTTCTACAACTACACGCTGTGCCGGAACGGGATGAAGGAGAAGCACGGCTCTGACTACTCCAGGGTAAGCGCCGCCGCCTCTGCAGCCCCCGCGCCGTCCTGCCTGCGCCTCCAGGACGGAAACTCTGCTGGCTCTGCTGACAGACTGCCTGTCTGTCTGCTCCCGAGCCGGTCAGCCCCCGGGGCAGGGCCGGCCGGTTCGGCTCTGCCGTGTCCTGCCTCCTCACCGTCCCCCCCGTGTCTCCCTCCGCCAGGACTACCTGACCGACCTCATCACCAACGACAGCGTGAGCTTCTTCCGCACGTCCAAGAAGATGTACCCGCACCGGCCCGTCCTCATGGTCATCAGCCACGCCGCCCCCCACGGCCCCGAGGACTCGGCCCCCCAGTACTCGCGCCTCTTCCCCAACGCGTCCCAGCACATGTGAGCAGCCCGGCCACGGGGCCGGGAGGGGGAGGCGGGAGGGAGGGTCACGGTCTGAGCCGCAGAGACGGGCTGAGCTGACGCCCCGGGAACCGTTCTCTGCGGGGAGAGAGGGACTCACGTCCCAGGGGGCGGGCTGTCCGCATGGGACCCGCATCCTCCCGCGGGCCGGTCTGTGGCGAGGGCCGCACTTCGGCGGAACGGGTTTCCGTTGTGACCCTCTCCCTGCAGAGCCTCCTGTGGGGGAGGGAGGGTCCGCAGCGTGGCGGGACCTGCAGTGTCTCCGCGGCCTTCACTGGCATCGGCCCCGCGGCGGGCTCGACGCTGAGCCTTGGCCGCACCGAGTCACTGCACCGCCCCAGGAGCCGGGCTGTGTCCGTCCGCAGACTCCCCTGACCCCCGGCCCTCCGGCCGGTGTGCCGCCCCGTCTGGGAGCCAGGGGACGGGACTGGCCTTGGGGAGGCGCTGGCTCGGGCTCCACTCGTGCCGATGAGGGGGCTGCAGCACCGGAGGCCGCCCGGTCACCCCCGTGGCGGCTCCCCAACCGACGGCCTCTCACGGAGAGACCGTGGCGACAGGGAGAGGGGGGCGGGGAGGGGGGCGGGCGGCCAAGGTGGACGTCGACATCTCATGGCCTAATCCCTGGTGGCACCGTCACTGCCACAGGCCGCAGCCGTCCTCCCGGGAGGTTCTGCTCTCCGGCCTCAGCCACCTCCGCTCGGCGGAGACACGCAGCAGCCCTCGCTGGGACACGGGGCGGCACGGGCAGGGCACGCTGCTGCTTCGTGTGCCCTGCACTCGGGATGCGTGGCTCCCCTCGGCCCCTCTTAGCTGATTTCCCGCAGCATCCAGAGGCCACCAGGGGTGTGGGAACCTCTGTCCCCTGGGCTCTGGGAGGAGGATTTGGTAGGGGATGAGCTGCCCTCACCCCTAGAGGGCAGCACTGCCCCCCAGCACACTCCACCCTCCCCATGCACCGCTCCCCTTGGCCGGAGGGGCACTCGGCCGGCTCAGGCCCCCTCGGGGAGAGGCCGTGGAGAGGCTGTGGAGAGGGAGGGTCCATGGGGAGGGAGGGTCTGCTCTGCGTCTGTGGCTTCTCCGTTAGAAGGTGCTGGCGGCTCCCTTCCCGCCCCCGGCAGCCCTGGTGCTGAGGAGATGGTTTGACATTGGCTGCTCATTTATTTTCCCTTTGAAATGAAAATCACAGAAATTGGACATGAGCGGCGCCCGCTATGACTTACCCAGAGAGCCCCTCGCCTTATTAGGGGTGTGTTTGGAAGGCTCTCCTCTCTCTGGGGTGTCATCATTCCTAAGACAAAGCCAGAACGCTCTGCAGCTGGACCGGGCGGTAGGGGGATGGAGCCCTGCAGGTTGGTGTTCCAGATCTTCCCACTGGGAGGCGCCGCAGACTCCCCGGTGAGCCTGGGCCTGGGCCTGGGCCTGGGCCCGGCCCGGGGGCTGAGAAGCGCTCTTGCTGCCATGTTGTCCTCCTTCCCTCCCAAGCACACCCGCAGAGGTACCAACTGATGTGCACACACAAACACAGCACATGCACAAGCATGAGCACACAAACACGGATACACACAGGCCAGACACAAATACACATACAAAGATACAGGTGCACGCACAAACCTGTGCACACAGACACATACACAAACACACAGACGAGCACAGACGCATCAGATTCAGACACAGATGTAGACACAGAGACACACGCTTAAAGATCCGCACAGGGACACAAAGACAGATACCAGCAGACTCACACACACAAACATGCAGAGACAAGGAGACGCCACCGTCAGGCTTGCGCGTACATAAATGCACTCGTGCACACAGGTGCACGCACACGGATGCCCGCCCCAGAGCTGTGTTTCAGGTGTGGCCTCCGGTTGTGGGTTCACGGCTCCCTTTTCTAACCCATGGAGGCCAGGCCGGCTCCCAGCCTGCGGGGCGGGGCTGCAGGGCGGTCACCCTCCCACCGCCCCAGCCTGGGGGCTCCTCCCGGACGCCCAGCTCTGCATGCCCAGGCATTCCTGGTATTCTGCAGGAGGCGAGGGGGCAGCTCCCTGCAGCTGCTGGCTCTCTGAGGGAGCCTGGCCTCTGCCGGCCAGCCGGCCTGGGCTGTGCAGCCTCTGCTTCAGAGAACAGGCTTTGGATTCAACCTCCACAGACTCCTGACAAACGCCCCTCGCTGGTCTCCAGGACAGACACCGGCCTGATAGATTCAGGCAGGGGGGAGGGGTGATTGCTCAAAACTGCCTCCCGGAATGCGGCCCCCGGGGCCTGCGGACCGGGTTCCCACACGCCCAGCAGCTCTGAGAGGCTCTGTGCAGCGGCCGCCCTCCTCCAGCTCCTCGGAGGGTGGCGGGAGCTTGTTCCCGGGAATGTTCTACACGCGGGTCAGGCCCCGGGCTAGCCCGCAGGGGCGAGGCAAGCTCCTCATCAAAGGGGCCTGGGCCCGGATGGATTTAAGGCAGGAGACCGCCCGGGGCTGGAAGCGAAGTCCAGCGGGACCCGAGCCTGTGACTCACCCGCTCTGCATAGCAACCGGTTCCACACGGCCAGGCAGTCCCCTGGCCCAGCCCGCACTGATGTGCAGGAGGCGCCCGTCCATCTGTGCGCTGTGGCCTGCAGGAAGGGAGCTTTTTCAGACCAGACCTGTTCGCCTCCCCCCACTCCACTCCCCAGCAACCCTTTGCCCCTTAATTGCCATTTTGAAAAGCCTTTTTGTCTTCACGGCCTGGGAACTCAACCTTCGTGGGAAGCTTTGCCTGGGGAGGGGCATGAGCTGGGAGAACACCCGCTGTGAGTGGGTTTACCTAGAGCACTTCTCCCAACGCCCCCTCCCCCCGGAGTACCATGTGTGGGTGGGGCTTTCAGTAACTCAGATCCTAGGGAGAGATGATGGGGCGTGGGGGGCAGGCCTTGGTCTGGGACAGAGTAATATGTTACTAGAATCATCTGCAAACTTCCGAGGCCCCGGACTGCATAGACCCTGGTGTCTGTGCTGCCTAATCCCTGGTGGGAATTTTTTTTTTTTTTGAGTTGCTTCTAATTCTTTATTTTGAATCTTTGCACATAAATTTGTTTTAAAGAGGCCATCTATCATCTATCTCTTCTCCGGTACATGCTTGATGAATATATATTTTAAAGTTTGAATATTGTATGTATTCCCTTGTTGTTTTTTATTGATTAAGGTATTATATATGTGTCCTTATCTCCCCATTGCCCCCCCACCCCACCTTCCCTCCTCATGCCCTCCCCCTCCTCACCCCACCCCCACCCCGGTGTCTGTGTCCATTGGTTAGGCTTACAAGTCCTTTGGCTGATCTCTCCCCCTTACCCCCACTCTCCCCTCCCCTCTCTCTGAGGTTTGACGGTCTGATGGATGCTTCTATGTCTCTGGATGTTTTTGTTCATCAGTTTATATTCATTGTGTTCCACAAATGAGTGAGATCATGTGGTATTTATCTTTCTCTGACTGGTTTATTTTGCTTAGCATAATGCCCTCCAGTTCCATCCATGCTGTTACAATGGTAATAATTCCTTATTTTTTTACAGCAGCGTAGTATTCCATTGTGGATTAAAAGCCACAATTTTTTTAATCCATTCATCTGCTGATAGGCATTTAGGCTGTTTCCAGATCTTAGCTATTGGTAATTGTGCTGCTGTGAACATAGGGGTGCATATATTCTTTCTGATTGGTGTTTCTGGTTTCTTGGGATATATTCCTAGAAGTGGGATTACATGGTCAAATGGGAGTTTCATTTTTAATTTTTTGAGGAAATTCCATACTGTTCTCCACAGTGGCTGCACCAGTCTGCATTCCCACCAGCAGTGCACGAGGGTTCCTTTTTCTCCGCATCCTCACCAGCACTTGTTTGTTGATTTGTTGATGATAGCCATTCTGACAGGTAGTGAGATAGTACCATTGTCATTTTGATTTGCATCTCTCGGATAATCAGTGACTTTGAGCATGTTGTCACGTGTCTCCTGGCCTTCTGTATGGAAGTGTCTATTTAGGTCCCTTGCCCATTTTTTGATTGTTTAGTTTATCTTCCTTTTGTTAAGTTGTATGAGTTCCCTGTCAATGTTGGAGATTAAGCCCTTATCAGTGAAAACATTGGCCAAGATCTTCTCCCTGTCGGGCTGAAGTTTTGCTCCAGGCCTGGGGGCGGGGAGCAGGGCAGGGAGGGTGTCTGAGAACAGGCCCACCTGACCGCTCCTGGAGCTCTACCTCTGTCTGGCCAGGTAATCCCCTCCCTGGACCGCCTCATCCTCAACATCAGGAAGCTGGTTCCACCAGCAGGGCCCAGACTTCTCAGAGTCTCCGTTCCTCTCGTAAACGGGGGAGCTGACCGAAGGGGGCATAATGGGGACACTGAGTCACAAAGCGTGGCTGTCCCCAGTGCACGCGTCCAGCCACCGTCCTCACCGTGCTGGCCACAGGCGCATGCCTGTTATTCGCTAGTTTTTTAATCAGCTTCCCTTTCTGAACCAAAACCCATTGCAAAAGGAAATTCGGTCACGGTGACAGCTGTCGCCTGCCACCCACCCCAGGTAACGGGAAAGGAATGCCGTCCTGGTGGATGAGGATTGGTGCTGTGCCGGCCGGAGGCTCCGCACGGAGCCCTCTCCGGCTTGAAAAGGGGCAATGAGCAGAGTCCAGGCAGGTGTCCAGGGAAGACTGACACCGGACGGTCACGGGGCCGTGGTGTGTGGGTGTGGGTGCCGACGGCCAGAATGGGAGGGATTTGAGTCTGTGGCTCCACACTGCTTGACACTGGGCCTCCCAGGTGGCGCCCCCACTCGGGGGAAAGGCCGGCCCACCTTTCGCAGAGCCCCTGACCCCAGTGTTCACTTCCCCCAGGTGTGTGTGGGCGGCAGACAGCTCAGGGCAAGCGCCCGCTCATGGCCTGGGAGGGTTGGGGCCGGCCCAGCGCCCCCTCCAGCCCCGCCTGACCCCTGCGTGTGTCTGCCCGCCAGCACGCCCAGCTACAACTACGCGCCCAACCCCGACAAGCACTGGATCATGCGCTACACGGGGCCCATGAAGCCCATCCACATGGAGTTCACCAACATGCTCCAGCGGAAGCGCCTGCAGACCCTCATGTCCGTGGACGACTCCATGGAGACGGTAGGCCGCCTCCCCCCCGCACCCCCTTCCCGTGACCCTCCCTGCCTTCGCCCTCCCCCAGGGTCAGCAGCCGAAGAGGAAGGGGAAGGAGACAGAACCAAGGCCCGGCCCCAGGCCGGGAGCGCCCTTCCGGCCCTCACTCTGCTATGCTTCGTTGAGGCACAGCTCACCTGATTAGAATGTGTAGTTCAGTGGCTTTCACATATTTGCACACGTGGATGGTCAGTACCGCCGTCCACGTTAGGACATTTTCATTGCCCCGGAAAGAAACCCCCAGCCCTCAGCCACCCCTGCTAACACCCCTCACCCTTCGTCCTGGCAGCCTGCAGTCCGCTCTGTGTCTGGGTTTGCCTCTTCCGGACACTTCCTATGAGTGGATTCACACGGGGTTTGGCTCTCTGTGACCGGCATGCTGTTTCGGTGTTCCTCCACATGGTGGCGCTATCGGAGCTTCCTTCCTTTTGACTGCTGACTAACATTCCGCCGTGTGGCGATAGGGCACACACTCCATTTGTCCACAGCTGCTTACATTTCATTAACGTCCAGTACGATTTAAAATTCAGTCCCTCAGTCACAGTAGCCATGTGTCAGGTGCCCGATAGTCACCTGTGGCCAGTGGACAGGACAGAAATGAACATTGTGGCATCACAGAAAGCGCTGCTGGACACACCATCACAGACTCCTGCCATGGCCACAGTCCAACTCCATCCATCCATTCATTCAGCAGCATTTGTCAGTAACAGAAGTCCCCGCTCTGATGGAGCTGGAGCTTACCTTCTCACGCAGGGTCACTAAATCCAAAAATAAGTAGAAGGGAGAGAACAGGGGTCAGCAAACCGCGGCTCGCGAGCCACATGTGGCTCTTTGGCCCCTTGAGTGTGGCTCTTCCACGAAATACCACGTGCGGGTGAAACTTCGTGGCCCCTGCGCAGGAGTCAGTGTTCGGCCTGGGCCAGTCTGTGTTGAAGAAGTGGCGTCAGAACACTCAAGGGGCCAAAGAGCCGCATGTGGCTCGCGAGCTGCGGTTTGCTGACCACTGAGATAGAAGGGGAGGAGCCTGTGAAGAAAAGTAAGGGGTCAGAAAGTGACCGAGGGCGGGGAGGCTGCAGCTGTGAGCGGCTCAGCCTGGGGCCTGCCGAAAGGTGACGGCTGGGCAAGGCTGGGGGCGGGGGGGGGGGGGGGGGGGCTGGGACCTATGACCTGGCCCTGAAAGTGGGGGGGCCTGAGACCTATGACCTGGCCCTGAAGGGGGGGGGGGCCTGAGACCTATGACCCCGCTCCGGGGACAGCGGGCGGGCCCTCACCTGCCCGCCTGTGTCCCAGATCTACAACATGCTGGTGGAGACGGGCGAGCTGGACAACACCTACCTCGTGTACACCGCCGACCACGGCTACCACATCGGCCAGTTCGGCCTGGTGAAGGGCAAGTCCATGCCGTACGAGTTTGACATCCGGGTCCCGTTCTACGTGCGAGGCCCCAACGTGGAGGCCGGCTCGCTGTGAGTGCCCCGCCCGCCCCACTGCTCCCGGTCCCGGGAGCCCTCCCCCGGGCAGCCGATTCCGCCGTGCGGCCCAGCCACACGCCGGCGGCTCCCGGCGGGCAGGGCGGCCTCGGTGCCGAGGGAAACAATGCCCATACCACTGGGGCGGGTGCTGACGCGCTGGGTGCACCTGGTGGGGAAGGAGGGCCAGAGCCACTGGCACCTGTGGGTGCCAGGGCAGCAGGGAGCCGGCCTGCGTGCCGCCCACGGGGGATGCCGCCTTGCTTTCTGTCTGGCCGGGAGCCCCTGGGGCTGGGGCTGCCGGGAGGAATCCTGCCATGGGGGGGGGGGGGGGAGGAAAGGATGGGGGTGTCGTACGATCGGCTGGACGGCTCAGGCCGCAGCACAGAGGTAAACTGGCCTCCCTGCCATCCTTTCTCGGGGACCCCGGGACCCTCAGCCACCTTCTCCGCGGGCTAGCCTCCAGGATGGCCCGTCCTGCCAGCCGAAAGCGCCGTGTCTGGGCAGGGAGAGGTGGGAGGCCAGGAATCTCAGCACGACACCACTTCGAGTGGCTCTCTGAGAAGCAGATAAATTGCCATTAAGTTACTTACTGGGTCCTCCTTCCATCGGAGCCCGGAGCCTGGACAGGACCACGGCACTGACCGCGCTGGCTGCGGGATTCCTCCTGAGGGGGACGGGCCTCGCCCTGCAGGGGCCGAGACGTCCCGTCACTGTGGGCCCCTGGGGATGGTTTCCAGAGGCAAGCCAGCCGCGTCCTTCTTCCTCTGCCCCCCTCATCACATCACTCCCTCCCCATCTGTCATCATAGCCGTAATACCAATAGCTGTGTCTGTGTAGCCTCATTCCTCAGGCCCAGGGCTAAGCACTCACACCACGTGTTCCTTGAAGCCTAACGGCAACCCTGGGAGGAAGATGCTGTTCTGGTCCCTTTTATGCCTCAGGAAACCGAGGCCCCGAGGTTCCATTGCCCGGGCTCACATGGCGGGGAAGGAGCTGGGAACTGAACCAGGAGCCTCTGCTCCTGGCTGCCCCCCCGCCCCCCCCGCATACACCCTCAGAGACCGGAGCCCCCCTGTGAATAGGAGGCACGTGGCCTGCTAAGGCTCGGTGGGCACTGGCGTTACGGGTTTGTTGGCCTCAGAGTCTGTGACCTGGTTCACGGGACCCAAAACCACAATCCCATATGGACAAAACAGAGGGGACTAATGTCAGGTTTGGGGCTGAAGACACACAGTGTGTCTGCCAGCCTGGACTCCTTTGGTTGCAAGCAGCAATGACCATCAGACTGGATAAGACTCAGTAAGATCAAAGGAATGCAGTAACTAAAGCAGCCAGGAAGTCCACGCCAGCTCTGGCTTCAGGCACGGCTGGATCCAGCAGTCCCACCACCACCACAGGAAGCTCTCCTTTCCCACCTGTCGGCCCTAATTTATGTGAATCAGCTTCCTTCTCGGGCGTGTCTGTGCGGGGGCAGAGTCACCGTGACTTGCAGCCATCTGGCTGGCGATACCCAGCAGTGGTTTGAACAGGAGCCCGGGGATGACTGTCACTGGCCTGTCGTGGGTCCCACTTCCTCGGTCACGGGTTGTGCAAGTGCAGGCGGAGGGCGTGAGCTCGCACACCTTCCCCCCAGACTGCTCCCCAGGGCTTTGCCGGGGCGGCTCCGGGGCAGCCTGCTCCTGCAGGAGGAGGTGAGGGAGACGTGGCCAGCAAGAGTCACGTAGCGCGTAACGTACGCATGGAGTGACAGCAGCCACCCTTGCCGCATTCTGCTGCCGTGGCCACAGGTGTGAACACGAGGGGTGGGGGCCACGGGGCCACGTGAGCCTGTCACAGGGTCTTCCGGAGCCAAAGGGAGGGAGGGAAGAGCCGTGCTGGCACCTGGAGAAGGAACATTCTGGCAAGAGCAAAGGCCCTGAGGCCAGTGTGCCGGGCTGTCAGGACAGCACAGGGGCGGTGTTGACTCAGGTTCAGAGAAGGGTCCAGGGGAAAGCCTCGGGTTTGGGGTAGTTTTTTTGTTTGTTTGTTTGCTTTTTTAATATATTTTATTGATATTTTTACAGAGAGGAAGGTAGAGAGAGAGTTAGAAACATCGATGAGAGAGAAGCATCGATCAGCTGCCTCCTGCACACCTCCCAGTAGGGATGTGCCTGCAACTAAGGTACATGCCCTTGACCAGAATCGAACCTGGGACCCTTGAATCCGCAGGCCGATGCTCTATCCACTGAGCAAACTGGTTTCGGCTGGGGTGGCTCTTAAGGGGCGGGGGGGCGGGGGGGTGCCTTTTATCCGGATGTTGGGAACAGAGAGGGCATTCCTGGCTGAAGAAGCAGCGGGTGTGGCCTGTGAACCCAGCCTGGTGTGTGTGTCGGGCACAGAGGTGAGGGGGGGCGGGCTCCGGTGAATCAGGCCACAGAGGGGAGCACTGAGGGCTGAGGTTCAGGAACGGCACGGCCCCAGCTTCCCACCTGCAGGGCGCAGTCCCTGGCCCCCTCCGCCCCTCCAGCCCCCCTCTCTGAGCGAGGGAGGCAGCCACCCTGCTCAGGCGGCCACGTCTGGTCTCCCTGCCTCCCCAGGAACCCCCACATTGTCCTCAACATCGACCTGGCCCCCACCATCCTGGACATCGCGGGGCTGGACATCCCCTCGGACATGGACGGGAAGTCCATCCTGAAGCTGCTGGACACGGAGAGGCCCGTGAACCGGTGAGGAGGGGAGGGCCGCCGGTCTCCCTGGAACCCCTCCCTGCACAAACATGAGGCCAAACCATGTGGGTCTGGTGGGGGGGCTTCTCCAGAGTCAGGAGCTAGGGTTCCAGGGTCCCCCACCCGGCCACTTCCCCGCTGGGAGAGAGGGATGTCCCCCAAGGTTCCGGCTTCCCATCCGGGATGTGGGCCGTGGCAGACCCTGCCTGTGTGTTCGACACGCGCGCAGCACCCCTGTGGCCACGCGTGTGCCGGTGCTTTGCATGGGGTTTCGTCGTTCTGCTCTCTGTAGCCGTGAGGGGGCTTCGTGCAGATGCCCCTTGGCCCATTGGACACCGAGAGGCCACGTGCCTTGCCGGAGGTCTCCGGGCAGGTCTGGCTCCCACTCCAGCTCTCAGACCCCCGATCTGAGGCTGCACTCCCAGTCACCATGCTCCATGCCTTTAATGCTGGTAACGCCGGCGGCGGGACGGGCATGTCCCCAGGTGTCCGGGGCGGAAAGGGAACCGGGATGGGGAGCAAAACGTGGGCACCTGGGCGGGTGGGCTGAGCCTGACGGGGACAGGAAAGCAGGGCACGTAGCCGCTGCTGTGGCAACAGCGACACCTGGTGGCCAAAACGGCACCGACCACTGGGCTCATGGCCCCAGGGAGCGGACGATTGCAACCTGGATGAGCAGTCCGTCCACATTGGCCGCCCCGCAGGGGGCGCCTCGCCCGCCGCCAACCTGAGGCCTTCCCAGCGGGATGGGTGTGGCCTGGGCAGGTGTGAGGAGCCCTGGGGGTCAGTGCAGGCTGGAAGCTGCCTCAGCCTGAGCCCATCTGGGAAACGGAAAGGAGAGTGACCGGCTTGAAGTGCAGTTAAATTACCCCAATCCAACCGCGGGGGTCACAGGAGGGAATCCCCCAGAACGCAGTGCAAGCCACCCTGACAGGCAGCCTCGCTGAGAGGGGGTCACTGGACTTCCCGGGAGGCACAGAGACGGGCGCACGTGACTGGGTGTAGCTTCCGCCTGGGAGGGTGGGCATCAAAGCCTCTCCCACTCCCGAGCACCCCGTCTTCCCTGGGACCCTGGGGTCTGTGCCGGATGGGAACCAAGGCCAGCTCTGGGCACCGTGCCTGCTTCTGGGAGAAGGGGCGGGGGGGTCTGTGAGCCCCACATGATGAGAAGATGGAGGTGTGCTTTCCCCCAGGTTTCACTTGAAAAAGAAGATGCGGGTCTGGCGAGACTCCTTCCTGGTGGAGAGAGGGTGAGTGCTGGGTCCTGAGGCGCCACCCAGTGGCTGTGACCAAGGAGCCGCCTCCCTGGCAGGCCCTGCCGCCGCGGAGGGAAAGGCTGCTGGCGGGGGGCGGGGGACCGCTGGTGTCCCCATACCTTCCCCCGGTGCCGGGCGCTCACGCCCACAGCCTCGGACACCAGAGTGCACCGCTGTCCTGCCGTGGGCACGGGGTTTGTGTTTGGAGGCCACACGTCTGGTGCTGCCTGCACAGTGGCCGTTTATTGCCAAGGCGGGCCGTTTGGGAGGTTCCCTGTAAAAATCCCCATTTCTTAAGTCTCCGGACGGCCAGGAGACGTGGCCAGGCTGGACCTGCCCGCTCGCGGTGGCACCGCCCTCGTAAGCAGGCCTCGCTGATGCCAGCCCTGCGCCCCGCCCTCTGCCCCACAGCAAGCTGCTCCACAAGAGGGACAGCGACAAGGCGGACGCCCAGGAGAACTTCCTGCCCAAGTACCAGCGCGTGCAGGACCTGTGCCAGCGGGCCGAGTACCAGACCGCGTGCGAGCAGCTGGGACAGGTGAGGCGGGGCTGGAGACTGGTGCCCCTGACCCTGCCTTCCCTCCAACGGCTGCCCCTCTGAACGGTGACCAGGCCTGCTCCCCGGGCTTTGTTCTAGGCACCCTGGCAACAACCTTGAATGCCATCCACAGAAAGCAGTGCCCTCCTGCAGCTGGCATTCTGGGGAGAGTGCGGCCTTGGGTTTATGCCAAGAGCCCACACGTGGTTCTGAGCTTCGAGCAACAGCCAGGGAGCCTTTGTCCCCTGGGATTGTTGTCAAATCCTGTGCCCCAGGTTAAAGGTCAGGCGAGCCCAGGGCAGGGGAGGGGCATGTCCCTGCACATGGAGAACAGCTCATTAGAGCACAGGGCTTCACTGCACAGGGAAGAGCACCAGAGGTGGGTGTGGGGCCCAGACCAGCTGGGGGGCCCTGTCCGTGGCCCCGGGGCCTCCAGGGTCCCTGTCCACCCGTCCACCTGCTGGGAGTGCAGTGCTGGTCCTGCTGGGCCAGCCACCCCCTCGGTGTGGTTGCCTCATCACGCACAGGCTGTGCCTTCTAGGAACGCCCTTCCTGGTGGGCTCACACCCAGCCACAGTCCTGCAGTGCCCCCCCTGGTGCCATGTCTGTGCTTCTGCAGTCAACACGTGTCTGTCTGTCCTGAGTAACTAGCTCCAGGGACACAGCCCTTGTGGGCCCATGTCGCTGCCAGGGCAGGGGGGGAGTGGTCACCGTCTCGGAGCCTGAGGCCTCGCTGTGCTTGCAGAAGTGGCAGTGCGTGGAGGACACCACGGGGACGCTGAAGCTGCACAAGTGTAAGGGCCCGGCGCGGCCCGGCGGCAGAGCCCTGTCCAACCTGGTGCCCAAGTACTACGGGCAGGGCCAGGGCGAGGCCTGCGCCTGCGACAGGGGCGGGGATGACCAGCTCGGCCTGGCCGGGCACCGCAAGAAGCTCTTCAAGAAGAGTGAGTGTGGGCGGTCCGGGCCGAGGGGAGGGGGAGCGTAGCCCCATTCGTTTGTTGAAGTAATTCCACGGGCACTCACAAGGGCCCCCAGGATCCTCCGGGCCCAGTGCGGACGGGCAGGAATAGAAGGGGAGAGCCGGGTGCTGTGAGGATGGGATGTGGAGGAGGGAGGGGCGGCAGGTGCCAGCCAGGGCCCATCACATCACAGCTCAGGTTCTGAGACAGAGGAGCCACGATCAGATTTGTGTGTTCAGGGATATCAGTGGGCTGGGAGGGGCGGGAGCAGCGGGGACCTGTCTGAGCCTGGCCACAGGGAGGAGGGGAGAGCTTTGGAAGGAACTTGGAAGCCCATCAGGGCAGGCTGGTGGGCCCGGTCCTCGTTGCTCAGGGAACCCGTGTTTGTAACTTCGCCGACCCCCTCAGCCTTATTTGTGGCCCCTCAGTCACTACTTGAGATGCTTTCACGGATTCTTGCGGGCAGAAACTCTGAGTCTCCGGGTGCACGTTCCCAGGGAGGCTGAAGGAAGAGGTGCTGTCCACCTCGGCTCCATACTCTTCACAGGACCTCTTAACGTCTGTTTGGCACCATGCTCTCCACGCCTGTGTGTGGTCCCTGTGCGCTCGCTGGTTAACAGCCCCCGAGGTGCCGGCGTGTCCTTGAGTGCAGGGAGGTGTGACACGCCTCATGGAGAAAGTGCGTGGGGCAGACAAGCTCGTGCCGGCATGAGTTGTAGCACATTCTATATAATAAAAGGCAAATGGACCAAACAGTGGGACGACACATACTGACCACCAGGGGGCAAATGCTCAACACAGGAGCTGCCCCCTGGTGGTCAGTGCCCTCTCGCTCAGCCACAAGCCGGGCTGATGGCTGGTGAGCGCAGCAGTGGTGGGAGCCTCTGCTGGCTGTGGCTTGTTGGATATTCCCCGAGGACTCCCGGACTGCTAAAGGGCACGGGCCGGGCTGAGGGGACCCCCTCCCCCCAGTGCACAAATGTTGTCCACCAGGCCTCTAGTATTATGTTAATAAGGTGTCATTTGCCCTGCTGGTTTTTCTCAGTGGTTAGGGTGTCAGCCCTTGGACCAAAGGTTCACAGGTTCAATTCCCGGTCAAGAGCATGTACCTCAGTTGCATTCGATCCCTAACCCCGGGTCAGGGTGCAAGTGGAAGGCAACCAATGGCTGGCTGCCCGTCTCTCCCCTCCACCTCTCCCTTCCATCTATAAAAAATCAGTGGGAAAATACCCTCAGGAGAGGACTGAAATAATGTATGTGACCAGAGGTTCACAGGAAGCCAGCCCGGTGCCCCTGGAAGCAGTGGTTTACTATTTGCTAGTTCAGTGTTCTCGGTGGCTTTACAGAACATGGTTACTGCAAAGGACAATGGACTGCTTTTGGAGTGGGGAAAGGCCCTCAGCCTACCCGAGGAAGCTGCCTAAGCCTCTCACCTTCCCCAGCAGGGGCTGGAGGACAGGCAGTTAGAAAGCCAGCAGACACCCTCTGGACGAGGCTGGAAGACTCGGCTGTCACCCAAGCTGGCCAGGGCCCCACTCTGAGCTCAGCTGCCAGGGGAAGAGTGGCCTCTGCCTGTTTTTGACGTGCCCAGTGCTCCATGCCTGTCTGTCACATGTCATCCTCCAGGGAGCCTTCCTGGTAAGGCAGGTTCTGTTGCAAAAACACCGCTCCAGGCCCGTGGTGGCACATTGGCTCAGGATTCACCCGAGCCATTAGATTCCAGAGCCTCGGAGCTCCAACTCCAGGACACATCCAAGGGAGGGCATCGCCGGGGCCCTGGAAACAAAGGCGGGAGGGTGACGTGGAGGGCAAGGGGCATGGCTTCAGTCCAGGGAAAGATTGACACGGGCCGGCCCACCTCTGGGAAGGTCCAGGGAGTAAATATTTGAGGCTTTGCAGGCTAAACGGTCTCGGTCTCAAACACCCAATTGTGTCACTGTCCTGGGATCCGGTGATTGGCTGATTTACAGCGTCAGGCAGAAGGCCAGATAGTTTGAGGACCCCTGGGCTTATGGCTGGAGATGGAGGGTGGGAAGATACAAGGCAGCTGGCTCAGGGAAAGCAAGACAGAGAGGCAGAGAGAACCCAAGGTCTAGTGCATGGCTTAGGCAGAGGACCTGTTCCCTAGGGAGATCCGCTCAGTACTGTGTGCACAAGGGGCCAGCTGTGGCTTCAGGGAGACTGAACTCAGGAGAAGCCAAGGAGAAAACTGCCCTGGCCCAGCAACGGCCCAGGCGTTACTGAGGCGGCGATGCCGCTCCTGGACTTGGGCCCTGGATCCTTTGATTCAAGGAGTTTGAAAAATGAAAGGTGCCAACATGTGTCCCAAGATGGGGGCCAGTAAGGCCAGATCCTGAAGCCTTGGGGCCACTTGGGAGCAGGGATCCCCTCCTCCCTTCCGCCAGCCTCCACCCAGTCCTCGAACTTTGGGCGCCACCTGGTGGTCATGTGGAAACCTGAGCTGTGACTGGCTCCAGGCCCTTCTCTAAAAAAACAACCGCCATCTAGGGCAGCAGGGTTCTGGACTCCAGGATGTGCCGTTTTGAAACAGAAAATGGTTGGAGCCGGCAAGCACATAGGGTCTCTTCAGAAGCTGGAATCTGCACTCCTGCGTGTCCACCACCCTTTTCCTCTGAGTGTAGCAACTTGAAGCTACAGAGCTGAGCTCCAACTTGAGCCTGAACGCTGGCTCAGAGCTTAGAAAAGGCACCTTTCAGTCCCAGCTCACGGCCCACCCGGTACAGGCAGCATCTAGCTCTCAGCTGGGACTTGGAGAAGCCACGTGACACCCCCACCCCACCCCCACCCCCCCAGCCGCTCCCTTTTCTGTCCAGGAGAATGTGCTGCCTGCCTTTTGCTTTTCCAATTCAAATTAGTGGGTTTTGTTTTTTGTGTTTCATTGCGCTATAACTGACAGCTGTTCAACATAATGATTTTATATTTGTATATATTACAAAATGTTCAAGTAGGTCCATTCACAAATAGATAACAGTGTTAACCTCAGCCACCATACAGCACATCCCTAAGACTTTATAACTGCAAGTTTACTTTTTGACCAGCCTTCATCCTCCAACCTCTGACAAACACCAGTCTGTTCTCTGTTACCTATGAGCTTGAGTTTTTGGTTTTGTGGTGGCTTTAGAGCTCAGTTGTAAGATCATTTGGTATGTCTTTATCTGACTGACTTCACTGAGTATAGTGCCCTCGCGTTGTTGTAAGTGGCAAGGTTTACTTTGATGCTGCAATGAACATGGCGGCGCATATACCTCTTCAAATTAGCGTTCTCATTTTCTTTGGATAAGTACCGAGACATTGAGTTGCTGGGCTAACTGGTAGTTCTATTTAATTCTTTGAGGAACCTCCATACTGTTTTCCATAGTGGCTGTACCAGTTTACATACACACCAATCATGCACAAGGGCTCTCTTTTCTCCACATCCTCACCAACACTTACTATTTAATAAGTCATCCTAACAGGAACGAGGTGCTGTTTCATTGTGGCTTTGATTTGCATTCCCCTGATGGGCAGTGATGCTGAGCATTTTCATGTGTCTATTTGGCCATCTGTATGTCTTCTTCAGGAAAATGTCTATTGGGCCCTCTGCCTGTTTCTAAATCAGATTGTCCTTTAGAGTTGTATATGTATGTGTGTTTGTGTGTATTAGATACATTTTTTAATTGACTTCAGAGAGGAAGGGAAAGGAGAGAGAAATTGATCAGCTGCCTCCTGCATACCCCTCTGATGCCCAGAGTACAAGGCCAGCTACGCCCGTAACCGCTCCATCCGCTCAGTGGCCATCGAGGTGGACGGCCAAGTGCACCATATAAGCCTGGATGAGGCATCCCTGTCCCGCAATCTCACCAAGCGGCACTGGCCAGAGGCCCCCGAGGACCAGGAAGACAAGGACGGCGGGGACTTCAGCGGCACTGGAGGCCTCCCGGACCCTTCAGCTCCCAACCCCATTAAAGTCACACACCGGTGAGCATCCAGGCAGAGGCTGGGGTAAAAGGGGACAGGCTGGGCCCTCCTCGCCCCGTCGGGGCCACACATCACGTGATCCCCTCTCGCAGGTGCTACATCCTCGAGAATGACACGGTCCAGTGTGACCTGGACCTGTACAAGTCCCTGCAGGCCTGGAAAGACCACAAGCTGCACATCGACCACGAGGTGACAGGAGTCTGGGAGGGGGGCGGTGTGAAGCCAGGCCCAGGGGGGAGAGAGGTCCCCACAGAACACGGGAAAATTACTCCGTTTCTTTGCTGGGAATCTGGTTCCTTCAGGTAGAGCCAGGGACCCCCCTCGGCACCCACAAATGTGGGCAATGGCCAGAGGCCACCCCTTTCTCACCCAGTCCCACCCCCACCCCCACCCCCACCCCGAGTTTCACGGCCTCCTCTCCCTCAGATTGAAACCCTGCAGAACAAAATTAAGAACCTGAGGGAAGTCCGAGGTCACCTGAAGAAAAAGCGGCCAGAAGAATGTGACTGTCACAAGATCAGGTGAGGAGGCATCAGAGGGACCCCTAGCAGGAAGGCCCCTAGCAGTCATGTAGGACCACTCCTTTCCTTACTTTTACCTCCTCAAGGCCCAGGGGGAGACACAGAGGCCGCTCTTCCTGCCTGCTCCCTCAGGGTAAAAACAAGTCAGTCATTCACATCAGCACTGACACATACCCCGCACCCCTCCCGCCCGTAGCCCAGATTCACACTCTGCCGACAGGCAGGCTGCTGCTGCGGGAAGCTGGCTCCCAGGAGGAAAGGGGCTCTTCGGGAACAGCCCTGTGGGAGGTCACATTACCAGCCCAGGGCACCACTGGCCTAAGGGTCTGCACTCAGGAGCAGCACTGTCCAAGGTCACTCCTGTGATGATGGAAATGGCTGTATCTGCTGGCCATCATGGGGGCCACCAACCAAGTGTACACACTTGAATGTGACCATGTAACTTACAAACTGAATTTATGGTTTTGTCTAAACTGAAATAGCTACATGTGGCTACAGTACCAGGCAGCCCAACTGTAGCATCTCTGCTCCAGTCCCAGGAAGAGATTGTAAAACAAGGATCCCCCTAGGGCTGGCCCTGACCAAGCCTGAGGTGGGGGAGCCACAGGGGACAACCACCAGGTGATGCGGAGGCTGAAGCTACACAAACCAGGCGCAGCTTCCGGCCTAAGCTGACGTACACCTACCGCAGCCTTCCAGCTCACACTTGCAGGAAGGAGCCAGGCAGGCAGGCGAGACAGTAACACATACACACACACACACACACACACACACACACACACACACACACACACACACCCGTCACTGCATCAGAAAGAGGGACGGTCCCGGGGACCACAGTGAACCCACCCAGGAGAACTGTTCCGTATGCAGTTTCTGAAACCTGGGGTTTGGGTTCTGTTCCAGTTACCACACCCAGCACAAAGGCCGTCTCAAGCACAAAGGCTCCAGTCTGCATCCTTTCAGGTAAGGCTCAGCTGACAATTTAAAGGATGTCTGTGTGCCTTCTCAGGCAACCCTCTACAAACGGCTTAAGGCCGGGGAGAGAGACACTGAGGCTGCCCTTCCTTAAGCTAAAACAAGAACAAGTAGTCCTGGCCTTTCCCTGGGAAGCTCAGGCAGTCCTTACAGAGGTCTCCAGGCACCATCACCCCCCCATGGCAGAAGTGGGTACTGCACCCCACCATGCAGGGTGGGATAAGGCCCAAGAAACTGGTGTGAGCCCGAGTCCAGCTGCCTCCTAGCTCTCCCCACCTCTGTGCTGCCATGGGACTTGGGGGTCCCTAGGGCTGTGCTCACAGTTCTCTGGCAAGAGCAACAGAGGGTCAGGGTCAACGGTCCCTACGAGGCTCCAAGGTGGGGAGGCCAAGAGAGGTGTGGCCATTTGCCTACAGGAAAGGGCTGCAGGAGAAAGACAAGGTGTGGCTGTTGCGGGAGCAGAAGCGCAAGAAGAAGCTTCGCAAGCTGCTCAAACGGCTGCAGAACAACGACACGTGCAGCATGCCGGGCCTCACCTGCTTCACCCACGACAACCAGCACTGGCAGACCGCGCCGCTCTGGACACGTGAGCAAGCCCGGGGCCCGCAGGAGGCAGCTTGGGCAGGAGGGGCTTCTCCAGGACCTCGCCTTGCCCCTTGCCAGACCCTACAAGGTCTTTTGGGAACAGATTCTCTGACATCAGGGGTCAACGAGTGCTCCCCACAGGCCCCGGCCCCGGGGACCGTCCTGGACAGGAATTCCTGTGGGCAGAATGGGTTTCTTCCTGCAGGCACACTCAGGGCACGCTCTCTCTTCCCTTGGCAGTGGGGCCCTTCTGTGCCTGCACCAGCGCCAACAACAACACATACTGGTGCATGAGGACCATCAACGAGACCCACAACTTCCTCTTCTGTGAATTTGCAACCGGCTTCCTCGAGTACTTTGATCTCAACACAGACCCCTACCAGGTACAGACAACCCTCACTGGAGGAGATGCATGGGGCTCAGAGGTGCTGGCGTCAGGCCCCCATGTGGAAACGATAAATGACCCGAGTCCCTCAGACAGGAGTGAGTTGTGAGGCCTCTGAGAACTTGGGGCTCCACTTTCCTGCGTCTGCAATCTAGACCTTGTTATAGCCTCTTCCCCGTGAGTTTCACGCAGGCTGTGTGGGAGCTTGTGGAGGCTCCTGGGCTGAGGGGTCCTCAGGGCCAGGCTAGACTCTGTTGGGTGCCTGCAGAGACAGCCGCCAACACTCATGCAGCACTCCCTACGTGCCAGGTGCTTCCATGTAGCAAACCATCTGAACACAACATGACTTTAAGTGGCCCAGAACACACAAGGCAAAAAGGAGCCACAAAGCCTGGTGAGTGGAACCAGCATGTCTTACCTCAACTGACGGTCACCACTGAGCTCAGCGCTCCAGCGCTCAGCAGTGTGGCCTTGGCACCAGCTGGTTACCTGTTTCAAGGGGAGGCTGAAGTCATATTTAACATGAATAAATGACTTTTAGATGCCGGCCACTCTATAGTCTGCCGGCCTTTCTCCTTTAGGTAGGGCATTCCTGTATCTACAGAAGGGCATGGCAGAGCATACGGGTTACTCAGGCATTGGTAGCTCCCAGATGAGGCAGGGCCCCAGGGACGGTGATGGAAGGCTGCTTAGAGGCAGTTTCCTAACCAGTGGCTCCAGGAGCTCAGTGTGAAGCACAGAGGCGGTTTATTCACGTGAGTTTTTATCCTCGTGAAGAGAGAGCCTTCGTGGGGCTTGAGGCAAAAAGTATTCCTAACTGTTCCAAACTCTGGCTCCTGCAGAAGCAAAGGTTACCATCCTGTAGCACCTGCTGCTCCTGGCCTGCCTGAAGCCAGTGCCCTGGGGGGGAGTGTGTAAGGGGGGGAGACTGCGCTCACCTGGCTGATAACCCACCTTCCGTCCAACCAGCTGATGAATGCAGTGAATACACTGGACAGGGATGTCCTCAATCAGCTACACGTACAGCTCATGGAGTTGAGGAGTTGCAAAGGTTACAAGCAGTGTAACCCCCGGACGCGCAACATGGACCTGGGTGAGTAGGTGCCCGTGGTGGGGCCTGTAAGGCGGCAGGGTTACCACAGAAGGAGTTTAGGTTCACTCTGGCCCGAAAAGTGAACCTAGAATCACCGGGAGTTGATGAATTCTCACCATGGCTAAAAGTCACCAAGTGCTGCTGTTATTGATCCTATGACAACCCTCAGGTGCAGCTGGCTGTCCTCACTTAGTGGAGAAGTGGAGTGACTGGGTTGGCTGACTGCAAAGCCCTCACACTTGGTCACACTACTACACCCTCTAGGAGACTTGCCAAGAGCCACACACAGAGCTCCCGCCACCTGCCTTTCTCAATGGCCTTGGCTTTCTGTAGCCTACGTGTCCGTGCCCCTCTCTGCCTCCCCTACCATGACCAAGGTCAGTGTTGAAGGGATGCATCAGGAAAGCTCACCTCCTAGTCAGCCTGCTCTGCCTGCCTAGGGAACACTGTCAACATCATAAGTTTGTGACAAACCACCTTCGTTGTTTAAAAAAAAAAAGTTACAAAGTTCGTCATTGCTTGTTCCATATTTACTCTAAATTCACTGTTCCTATTTTGTTCATGTCTCCTTTAGGACTTAAAGATGGAGGAAGCTATGAGCAATACAGGTATTCAGTTTTGTTTCTAAAGCCTCAGAACGGTCCCATGTGGAGGCCCGTCCTTTAGTCTAACCTCTGTGACTGCCCTTTCTCGGTCTGCCATGGGCCTGGGTCGCCCACCAGTCAGGTGTCACCTAAGCGACCATCTTTGTATTGTTCTTTGAGAGTAACTCTTTCTTTCTTGGTGATGGTTAACACTCATTCTCCTTTTGACACTTGAAAACTTAGGCAGTTTCAGCGTCGAAAGTGGCCAGAAATGAAGAGACCTTCTTCCAAATCACTGTGAGTTGAGAAATGGGTTTACAAATAGAGACCTGGTTCTGGCTTGCTTCGTTTTGCCAAGGCTATTCTGTGTGCATGCCAATTCTTACATATTACTCTCATTTGTTCCTATGATGAGAGGGGAAGCAGTAATGTTCGTCTTTCCTGTAAAATAACACCCTTGAGTACACTTCATGTTTTAGGTTAATAGCTTGTCTATATACACTGTTGTTCACTACAAATAATCTGTGCCTGGTAAACTCAAGGCATTCCTTAGAAAATGAGCAGCACTTAAGTATTGTAACTGCCAGGCACCTTGAAGGCTGTGGCTGCAGAAGTGTTACCTGGTCCTTACATAACATCAGTGGGGCAGTGTCATTAAATGGTTTCCAAAATGTCCATGCTGCACACTCCAGTGCTGCCAGAGGCCGGCGGGGGGCTAAGAGACTGTGGCAGCCTGGAAAAGTCACCTCTAGTCCAAAGAGAAAGGTACAAATGCGATGTAATTTAAAACCCTCTGATTCATCAGGTCAATCCAGAAACCCAAATGTGTGTGAGAATTTTTTTTTTTGCATTGGCGACTAATTTGACACCAAACAAAACGCCTTGATGAGCTGCCATTTGCAACCTCTGGCCTATTCATGTCTTTCCTTATGTCTGGAGAAACCTATGCAGCTTTAATAGGGACAACTAAGCATGTCTCTGGTGCTCTCAGAATTAAAGCACATAAATGCCAGCAGCTGAAAATCTAGATTTGAGGTGGTGACAAGCCTGGTCTGAGGGACCTAGACATAGTCCTTCTCAGCAGCCACATCCTTGAAGCAAAACTGAGGCAGCTATAGGACTGAGTTAATGCCTAGCAGCGTGACAATCAAATACTGAGGTGAGTCTGCTTTGTTCCACAGGGGACAGCTGTGGGAAGGCTGGGAAGGTTAAGCAGCATGGTATGGACCTCCCAAACAGAGGCATCACCTGACCATCCAGAGAGCAAAGCCCTGTGTGATTCCAGGCAGACCTATGCCATCAGCCAGGAGACCTGGGAGACACAGAACTTGCTTTCAGTCAACATGGCAGATTGTGGAAGAGAACTACCAGGAGTAGTGATACTTCGGGAAGCCCATCTTTGCCCTTGCTTTTGCTTTGGACTGTACCTCACCAGCGGCACAAAATGCATTTTCATATCAAAGTCACCACTAACCCTCTCCAAGGCTTAAAGGAAAAAAGAACAAAAAGAGGAGGTGTTTTGTTTTTTTTAATTTCCCTGAAGGATGAAAGTCACTGGAATGTTTTTGTTTTTTTTAAGTCGTAGGGAAAGAACAACCCTGTTTTAAATCCTCTCATCTTTTGGTTTGTCACGAAGAACGAGCCTAAGAGGCAGGACAGTGGCAGTGTGCAGATGCCGGGAGCAGTGCCCAGTGGATAGTGAGTCCACAGCACAAGAAGTGACGTTACCTAGCACTGGAGCCCTGGCTGCCTCTGAAGAAACGGGCTTCACTGTAAATATGTGACTATTTACATGTAACCGGCGTGGGACTTTTAGGGGAATCTGACCAAGAAGAAACCCAGTTTTGAAGCGTGGTGGTGTCAATAAACGCTGTGGCCAGTGTGAGAGAAAAGCCCTGCAGTGTGGACATTTCTGTTCCCGCCCAGGTACCATGGCCCCTATTCCCGTGTTCTCTCTCCCAGAACTGATGTTTTCTAAAGTGCTGGAAAGAAATGGAAGTTGACATACATCCCACATTTTAATGAAGTTGTATTTGTAAAGAAAGGTTTGTAGTCTAAGTAGTGTCACACAATGTTCAGAACTCCAGCCAATGACCAGCAGTCAGTATGAGGTAACCTTTGACATTCTGTAAAAGGCCATTCTTGGGGGTGTTATGTTTTGTTTTTTCCTTAAAATCATTCAATACACCACCAGTCAACAACTTTTTCAAAGGAGACACCTTTGATTTGGGTGGTTTTTTAAGGGACAACAGAGGTTACAAATTAATGACTAAAATTTACCATATTTCAAGGAACTCACAGGTAAGTCTCACATTACACCAGCTTTAGGATTTCACTTTTAAGGTAAATGTGTTAAATCAAATGCAAAGCAACTGCTAATCCTTCTGTCCCAGGGAATCTAATCTGGTGAAAAGAGCAGCTAGAATGGGAGAACAGGAGGAACCTCAGCCATCAAGTGGTCCAACCCATTTCTCATTCAATAGATGATCCCTTGTCACTCACCTTTTTAAAGAACAGTTCCATGCTTTTCAAGAACAGTTCCATGCTTTTCAAGATTTATTTTTGGAACGAGTTTGAAGAGTATAATCTCCAGTTTTGCTGTTCTATTGCTGCACACAATAAGAAGCATTTGGGGGGGGGGGGGGGGATTATTTTAACCTCACAGAAACAGCTACTATTATTTGAAATAAGAGTCCTTAACATTCTTTTTCACTCTTAATCCAATAAGGATTTTTCTTTAAGTAAATAAAGCAAGCTCTTTGGCTTCAATTTTAAATAGAAACCTTTATTTACAATGACACCCAAAATGATCAGCAAAACAGTCATACCTTAACCACACATCTCATAAGTTATCTCATGTGGTCTGGATTCTTTGCAGGTTCAAGGATGATTTAGATTTTTTTTTTTTTTAAAAAAAAAACATTTAATGTAAACTTGATTGAATTCATTCTCAACACTGTAAGTCGATTCCTGAGAATTTAAATATTGCTCTCAGAATGACATTTCCATCTTCAAAATCCCATACATTGGAAGAGAGGAAGAGAAAGAAGGAAAAAAGAACACCCTGCTCATTAAACAATTTGCCTTGGGCTCAACAGCAGCTCCTGCTCCTCTGCATCTCCCGCTGGGAACAAACTCATGGCTTCTGCAAATAAAAAGGGAACTGGACAGGCATATGGGTAACGCAATGTATTCTGTTACCTTCTAGCTGCATCTATCTCTGGATCAAAGAACTTTTAGGACAGCAAACCGATGTCCTACATTACCTCCCCCTAAACCTCCAACTCACCTCAAAGTGAATAGGATTAAGCAGTCCCTGTTGATTGATATTTACACCTTTCCATCAAGATGCACAACTTAGAAAAGTGACATCATAATATGAACATTAACAATTTCTATTTGTTTTTTTAAAGGAAGAAACAGGTACTTCCTTTATATCATTTTGATCTTTAAAAATATATATATTATATATCTTTGGATTCAGCAAAAAAGGAATACTGGAAATATCTCACTTTCTAAAAGCTGATGAAAAGATTACTTAAACTGTTCACCAACAGATACCAAGGTCTAAAAAAGTAGGAAGAGGAGAGGTAGGCAGCAGGAGTACAAAGAATTATCCAAAAAAGATTAAAAACAAATTATCTCAAAGACTGCATCTATTAAAAGAAAATCAGAATCTTAAGTTTGCACCAATAAAATGAACAAGTAGAAAATATAAAAACTTATAACCTTTGTTTTTTTCATATAAAAGGGGAGTGCTGCCTTCCAGTTAGCCTGGAGCCAGGACTAAGGAAAAGAATCACAAAATTTTTTGTTCTTAATTTTTAAAAGTCAAGAAAGGTAAGAGCACCATTCTGTTTCTTCCATGTACACACAACTTAAACAAGAAAGATTCAGACATACCTCACACAACTGTGTCTAAAAAGACAGACACCCAAGTTAGGTCTCCGGACAGAAGGATGTGTTATCTGAAAAGTACAGGCCACTATGATGGAAGGTGATGGATTTACAATCTTAGATTTATTTTTAACTTGGCAGGAGTGAATGGGGTGTCAGACTCAAATCCATTCTAGTGGTGTTTCTGGAAATATAGGTTTCACTTATTCATAAAGAAATTAAAAGATCTTACCTTAGAGGCACCTAGAAAGATTAGCTCAATGTGAATGAAATAAAAATTAACTGGCTCCCAATTATTGCCAGGATGTGACACCAAAGCTAACAGAGATATCTGAAATTAATATTTTCCAAAAACCCAATTTCATTCAATTATTTTAACTTAAAAGTAAGCCAGATACAGAAAATTAAATCTGATTTTTTTTTTTTTTTTTTTTTAACCTATTCCCAACTGACAAGTGTCACGGAGTGGTGACAGCAGACAAGGGCAGGGGTAGCAGGAGGAGGGAGTGCAACAGCGCTCAGACTGCAGCTCTGAATCATGCAAAACTGACTTCCTGGGGCTGAGTCTTATTCTCAGGGATGGTGATGTCCATTACCAGGACATGACTCTTACTCTCAGGGATGGTGAAAGCATCATGATAGTGAATGACAGCACAGCTGAGCAGACATAGAAGCCACACATCCAGGATTCTACTCCTGAGAGCTCATTGGGATTCAGGTCCTAGTAACCAAAACCTAGAGCAATCCTCAAGTAAACAAACGGACACCAATTTAAAAAAAAAAAAAAAACATGAACTGCTATTCTTTTATGGACCACTTTAAATCAAATTGCTTAATATTTTTAAATTCTTGATACCTTTTTATAAAACATTTTCCCATGTCTATTCTTTCCCCCAAAATTAACAAAGTGCTTATAGTTCTGGTAGAAGAATTAAAAAAAAAAAATTTAAATGCCTACATCTAAACAAATGATCTCTTTAAAAAACTTTTAGATTAAGAGACTGAAAAGAACGAGGCATCTAAGGCTGGAGAGAAGGAAAAGCTCCGGATCGCTGTCCTTTCCCCCAGGCCAAAAAATTCAGGGATGACTCTTCTGTTTGTAACCTCACGACACTGAGCTTAATGAAATCAACTATGTTAAATATTTAGCTTCACAAACTCTGTAAAAATGAGCTGTTGTGACCTACAAAAAAAGTATATACATATTTTACATGATATAATATCTTAAAGGTCCTATTTACAAAAGAAAATCTATTCACAGAAACACTGCGAAATTCTGATTCAGAATGCAGTACCTGGCCTTGGGTTTTCTGTGGTTTATTTTCAAAAAGCATTATTGCTCTACCGTATAGGCAAATGGTGACACCAGTACTTTCAACAACAAAATCATAGTTCTTATCCAACAGATAGACAAAAACCAGGAATGTGATTCGCCATTCCTCAAGACCTCAAGAATATTGCATTTATCCACTATTTTTTAAATAAAGTGCACTCGGCGGCACGTTAGCATGTGAAAAATTGCTACTGCTGCATTAAATACTGTCATCTCATTTCCCCTTCTACAAGGCCATTTGACATCAAGGAGAATTCCTGGAGGTGAAGTATGACAAAATGTTAGGAGCAAATGAAAATCCTAACTAAAGCCTAACTCAACCAAGAATAGGGTTGGAGCAACTCGACACGATCATTAAGAGAGAATCCGGAGATGCCAACCCTGCGGGACAGAACTACCTGGTAGTGACAAAAGCAAATGAAGACTTGCACTTGCTCTTCCTCCAGTACTGCAACTAGAGAAACCAGATGTTCTAATCTCCTGATTTCTCCAATGTTCTGTACTGAATAGCCAGGCAGACGGAAGGGACAAAGGAGTATTGTGTGATCAATAACACTCCGTTACCTCCAGAACCATCTCCCTAAGAAGCAGAAAGCCAAAACTACTTGTTTTGAACACCATGATACATGTTGCAGGGGGCGGAGAGGGGGAGGTTGATATCTTGATATCACACTTCAGCTTAAAATCCAGTCCTACTCAAATGACATCACTTGGAATACCCTTGATGAAGATCGAAGATGGTCCTTTCTTCAAAGCTGGTGCCTAGAACAATGATTCTTTACTCCTGATAATTCTAGTGCAGTGTCATTTGTACAGTGAATTCTTCAGAAGTCCTGATGTGGAGATGTCAGCAGTATTTCTGTTAGCAACCAAAGAAACATGAGTGAAAAACACTGCATAAGAAAAAATAAATCTCTATATCTACACTGATGGCTTGCAACATGGTTCTGGCTTGAATGAGCCAGATTCCTAAGATCTCAAATTACCCAAAGTATCTAGTGGCCCAATTCAAATCAAATTTTTTTCAGTGACTATATTTTTAAGTTTCACATCCAAGTTAAAAATCTACCTAGGAATTTAGATAACATTTGAGGCTTGGGTTCCTTCCAGAGATCAAGAAAAGTATTTTGAGAAAGTAAAAAAAATAGATCCCATACCTGCTCGGGGCCCATGGGCATGCCAGACATGGGCATGGAGTTCATGTTCATCTGTCCCATGGGACCACTGCTGCCATTCATGTGCACCATGTTATAAGCTGCAGGATTCCCCTGGTGGGCATACTGCTGCTGGGGGAAGGAGCTGCAAAGGAAGTGAGAAGTTACAAGTCACTTTGGTGACAGAAAGTACAGACACAGACTCATAATTTTGCCAAATGTCACTATACTTAAGCAGAGAACAACATGAAAGGAACTCCCGGACAGCCTGCCCTCTATTTTTCACAGCTGTCTGTGTTCAATGCTGTAACAGATATATGCATGGAAGGACTCACAAAATGCATGCGCCAAACAGCATTTCTCAATATGAACCCAGGCCTTTGGATCTCTCCAAACAGGCTGAACTCAAAAATGCAGACACCATCTAAACGTTTGGCACTAGAATATGAGTGACTTTTAAAGTCCTTGTTCTTCACCTGCTCCTGGCCAGGTTTCCTGATGGCCAGCCTTTCATTTCCGAGGACTGATACATAGGTGCAGTCTGAGGGTGCTGCATCATAGGATTCTGGGAGGGACCCATTCTTGATGACATCATTGCATTAGGAGGACTGGACACTCGACCAAAGGCTGGATCTGGTTGTTGTCCCATCCCTTTAAAAAAGAAAAAATTACAATGCTCAAATGCTACTCCTTAGAATATCAGCTTTCTATAGTAATTTTATGTTTTGGTTTTTTTTTTAAGGCAGGAGAAGGTCACAAGTATAAGACACTGAATGCTTCAGGTTGCTGCCTGCCAGTTATTCTTGCTTCTCACCAAAATGCCAACTAGAATAATAGGCTTACTACTGAAAAGCACACTGCCTAGATCACTTAAAGGGTAGTTACTTCAGTAAGCTCTCTGTATAAAAGGGATTCCATATGATACTGCTCACATTACTCTGTCCCTCTATAGAGGACAGAAAAGTTGTTGTCCCCAACTGGCAGGGATGCATTTGGAAATGTAATCGCCCCAGCAGATACCACTATCCCCAAGAGGTATGAGCACTATTGTAATACTATTGGCCCGGTGCACGTATTTGTGCACCAGTGGGGTCCTTCAGCATGGCCTGTGGAGATCGGGCAGAAACCATCACTCTAACACTGCCTGTCGCTCCTGCTCACCCTGGCGATGCTGCCCTTGCCACCACCACCACCTCTCAGTAGACTCACTGCCACTCCACTGTGGTCTCTGGGCTGTGGCAGACAGCCGTGAGTCCTGCATCTGGTGCCCATTGGTGAGCTGAGCGGCATTCCTGCTGTAGGGGCGCACTGATTACCTTGGGGCAGCTCCTGCATTGCGTGCCATAGCAACCAGTCGAGTGGCCAACTGGTTGCTTTCACTTTTATTTATATACTAGATGCCCATTGCATGAAAATTCATGCATTGGAGCAGGGATCCCTCAGCCTGGCCTGCCACTCTCACAGTCCGGGAGCCCTCAGGCAGAAAACAATCTGGCCATCAGGAAGGCAACGCACCTAT